ACTGGACACCCTGCAGACACACTGACCCCCCAGGACCAGGACTGGACACCCTGACCATCCTCTTGACTGGACATTCCGGAAGACACCTAAGAAATCACTGTAAACCTCCTGTCAGCATCTACCAGGGCTACTGAGATACTGCAACCTGCTTCCTCCTGGGTTCGGAGTAACGTCACCTGTAACGTCACTGGCAGCACACAGCCATTGGCTCAACTGCTTGGGTGACGTTCCTGTTCGATGAGTCAAAAGCTTTCTGAGGTTTTTAGCTAAAGATGGCACGGCCTGCCCGAACCTGCAGCATTCCTGCGTTTCCCACACTCCTTGTGCAGCGAGTCGGGTCTAACCATGTTTTCCAACACACCCACACCCAAAATTCCCAATTATCACCATCAGATTGCAATATTCATCTTCACGAAGAAGCTATACTGATAATGCCACTGAGCTGGACCTGGACACAGCTCCCTCTCAGGTCCTCCTTATCCACAAACTGCTTTCACTCAGTGGACTGTAACGACGCACTCCTAGTGTTCCATAGTTCTGCACCGCGGAGGTCCTGCTTACAATCCAGAAGTATGAAGTCTCCTTATTACTTATTAATGAGGACTGACTGACTGACTGGCTGGCTGGCTGGCTGGTCGGTCAGTTGGTTGGTCAATCAATCAATCGATCGATCTTTCCAGCACTGCCTTGTGTTCTGAGTTTGCCATCTCATGTGAGACACTACACCATGCTGGATATAAGCCAAGCCTTCCCTGTTGTACCCGACACAGTGAACTAGCACTTCCAACCCAGGCCAGGCATGTGTCCACCCAGTTGGACATCAGTGCCCAGTCCGGAAAGCCCACCTTAGGGACGTCTCTCTTGGTGCCCAGAGGAAAGGCAGACCATCGGTCTTCAGACTCCAGAGGGGTCTTACCTTCCTCTGCAGGAGTATGTTTTTTTTCTTCCTCTTTGTTCAGAGAACATTCTTAAGAACAGAAGCCTGGTTTCAAATGAGAGGACCCATTCTGCCCATCTGGCTCATTTGGTAGTTAGTAGTTAACTGATCCCAGGACCTCATCCAGCTGTTTCAACTTCACGGCTGGGTCGTTTGTTCCATACCACCACAACCCTTTGCGTAAAGTACCAACCTCTTCTAACTGGAGGATCTCTTACACCCATTGTCTGAAAGATGCCAGGATATCAGCTTCAACAATGTAACAGGGCAGCTTGTTCCACACTCCCACCACTCTTTGGGTAAAGAAGTGCCTCCTGTTGTCGGTTTTAAAGGCACTTCCGCCTACAACCTACTGTACGCGTGACCTCTAACCTGTGTTTTACTGTTCAATTCACTGGTTTTACTCTTACTTATTGTAAGAATAAATAATCTTACTTATCCTACTTATAAGACTAAATAATTTACTTATTTTAAAAATAAATAATAAAAAATCTTGGCATTTGAATTCTGTTTTTTACTTCATCTTAAACCACCGGATACATGATCTACCCCGGGGCTGTCAAACTCAGTTCTAGCACCTTCTGGTTTTTAGTCCAACCTTAGTAGTCAATTAAGTCAATTAAACATTTAACCTAAGCAGTGTCTAAATTAGACATGCACAGGATCTTTCTAAAGGTCTTCTATGGTTTCTTGGTGAAAAAACGCACTTCACTAAAAGTACAGGTCCCTGTGAAAGCCCTTTAAGACTGAATAGAAAAAGTTATAATCCTGCTCTGCCGGGACGCCAGTCCATTGCAGGGCACACACAGGCAGACAGTCGAACCCCTGGCTTCTCTCAGGAAGCAGCTGGATGAGATCCTGAAGCGGCTTCCTCCTGTCTGCGACTGCTCCCGAGTTCTCACCCACACGCTGGGGCAGAAGTCCCCCTGGCTCTAGACACAGGCCCCCTTCCTCCCATAAGTACTGATCGCATACGTGCGACCACACAAGAACTGATAGCTCAGCTGGGCAGCTGCGTCAGCACGCGCAGGCTGCAAAGGAACAAGTCGTAGGTCTACTCCACGCTGAAAAGAGAGGAAAGAAAACACAACGTTTCGGCCGTGGAGCCTTCTTCAGGTGTGAGAAAGACAGGGCAGTAAGAACTCGGTGAACAATTTCGTTTTCCGAAAGCTGCTTTGGTCATTTTCCCTCGGGATCTCGCGCTGCTTGGAAAGAAAGAAATGAATCTGGACGAGATCCTCAGATTAATTGACAGCTAATTACCAAACGGGCTGGCTGGGCTAAACAGCCTCCCTTCATCTGTGGCCTTTCCTATGTTGTTAACTTTTGAGCTGTGAACAATTCCAACGACCCAATTAAGACCACTCTTGCTTCAATTAAGGGGCCCGATTCAGCACGTGCTGTAGGAGCTCAGAACTCAGCCTGGTGGGAAGAATCATTAAGAAAACAACCCAGGCTGGAAAGTCCCAAATTTCCAGGGAGCTCGTTATGAAAGTCCGGGAGGAAGACGCTGTCCCGTGCCCCGACGAGCACCTGCTCGCTGGAGTAGAAACATGGAGTATCCCTCCATCCCAGCACTCTCCCCTCTGCAGACCCTTCCTGCCCGCCCCAGCCAGAGCGGAGGCCTGGCTCAGGCTCGTGGTAGGAGGAGGGGGGGGGGCGGGCAGGGCGCAAGGTGCTGCACGCCTGCATCCAGATGGCCAGCCTGTCGCCCCTCATGGGGGGGCACAAGCAGATGCTGCATGTAAGTGCACTTAAAAACCAAGAACGGGAGGCATGGTATATACACAAAGGGTGGTGGGAGGGTGGAACGCTCCCTCTCTCATGACTGTGGTAGCCGTCATGTTGTTGAAGCCGGTAACCTGGCTCCTTTAATGTCTTGACAACTGGATGAGCTCCTCCGATCAGGACAGATGCTACTTTACACAAAGGGTGGCAGAAGAGGGCAACAAGCTGCCCAGCCATGCGGTCAAAACGGATACCTTGGCTTCCTTCAAGGAACAGCTGGATGAGATCCTGGGGTCTTTCAGCGAGCGACAACCAAACGAGCCAGATGGTCCGTTTCGCCTCCTCTTGTCCGTGACCTTTCCTGTGTTAGGATGGGCAGCTCCTGACCTCACAGGCTGGAATAGGTGCGTGCATGTGTGTGTGTTGAGAAGGGGGATTATTTATTCCACATCTCCACACAGTCCCTCTCTGACTGCAACAGCACCTCCAAGCCTCCGCGATCCACACCAGCAGGCAGACAGCTCACACGTTTATAAAGAGAGCCCCCCACACACACACCAAGAACCAGCACCAAGAACCAGCAGTATGGCAGACCCAGGCACAGGGCACACTGGCAGACCAGGGCAGGGTTCTGTTGTGTCTGCGTGAGCATGCCGCAACACACACTGTATGAAGGCGTGTGTGTGTGTGAGGATCTCTCACTCTCAAGCAGAGTCATCTAAACTGTTCTTCATAGCCACAGCGCCCAGAGCGAAATGATCTCGGTTGTTATTTGTACAGGTGACACAACATGTCGGGGGGGAGTCCTCTGTTCTGGCGGGGTCACTGTAACCCTTCGGCGACAGCCCGACATAACTCCCCGAGCGGCTAGATTCGGTCTCCGCCGAGCGAGTTGGCAGCGATTAGCAGGGGACAGAGCCTGGCACTGTGACCCTCCAACCCGTGTGCGCGCCGACGCCAGCTTCCGAGCACCTCGTGCCCGTCAGCCCATATACCCGCTCGGACAACAGGTCCAGAACAGACCCGGGACAGGGCGGGCGGCTCGCCTTCGGACCGCACTTCGCGGGGCGCGACGGTCACCCTGCCGTTGAAACGGCATCACGAGTTTCTGCAACGTCGCTGTAATCGACTCGCGTCCCTCCAGAACAGCGTCCATGTCCGGCGCTACGGTTTCTCTGGGGTTGTCGAAGCCGCAGCGTAGAGAACCACACGCCCGGCGGTTAGTCAGTCACCCCGGGGGTGAGTCCCCGGGCTCTGCTGGTAAACAAGAGCAAGGGGAAGTGTAAGCACCCCCCCCCCCCAGTGTCCCGCTCCGGGGAAAAACGTCCACCTTCGGCGGAACTGGAGGAGCACGCCGCGGCGCTCGTGCCTCCAGGCTCGTGCCCCCGCCCTTCCAGCTGCTGGCGTTCGGTCTTTACAAACACCCCCCCTTCTCTGGAGCCCCCAATTCCAGCTGCTTCCTGTGAGCGTTGACCCCCTTTAATAAAAAAAAAGCACCCCTCTCTGTGAGGGCTGTGGTAGAACTTTTTGGAACTCGCACGAACACGCACACAAAAAAAAACTATTAAAAAACAGACAGAGGTGGATCTGTTCCTTACCTTTTTGTGTCGCCAGAAGGGAAAATAAACGCCTTCCTCGTTTAAGTCCTTAGCATCTGAAAATCGTTTCTCAAGACGGGCTTCGGCCTTCGGTTTGCTCCTTCTGTCCTTCCCTCCGTCTCTCTCTCTCGGTCTGTCTTTCTCGCTCGCCCTCGGAGCAGTAACTTCGGTATCTACCCTCAAGCTCCTTCCGTGTGAAGTAAGAGTTTCATGACTTTTCCCCGCACGGTACCGGAAAGCGAGCCCGACTCGGCTGTTACTCCCCAACGTCTCAGCCAGCGGGTACCGTCAGACGAACCACGCACAGCGGGCTCGAACCTCAGCGCCTCTCCCGAATTGGGACTTGCACAACTCGAAATGACAAGACTCTCTCTCGCTCTCTCGTCTTCTCTCTCTCTCTCTGAGGGACATAAACACATTTCCTGTGTTTTCTCTCGATTGCGTTTTCTTTCTGATTGGATGGAAGGCGCAGCTGAGACCTGCTGAGGACTTTCTGTTCAGACCGAAGTGAAAGCGAGCAGAGGAGGCGACCGAATCCGGACACGGGGATCGGATTTTGTCTCTGTTCTGGTGTCGCGAAGTCTTCTGTCACTGGAGGGGGGAACTGTGACGTTAGGAAGATTAAAATTATTTTCTTCTTCTTCTTTCGGATACAAGTGGAGCCCTCGAGCTTGTCAGACCTGTTTTCGAACTCCCCACCCCCTCGCCTGTTGGTTATATTAGATAATGAATGCAGAACCAACTCGGGCGTTGAACGGGGAGATAGATTTCCTCTAGGGATCCATACCGGCAGACTGGAACCCTTTTACAACAGGAGTCCCCAGTCCTGGTCCTGGGGGGTCAGTGTGTCCGCAGGGTGTCCTGTCCTGGGGGGGTCAGCGTGTCTGCAAGGTGTCCAGTCCTGGGGGGTCAGTGTGTCCACAGGGTGTCCAGTCCTGTTCCTGGGGGGGTCAGTGTGTCTGGAAGATGTCCAGTCCTGGTCCTGGGGGGTCAGTGTGGAAGATGTCCAGGTCTCTTCAGAGCAGTGGCACAGTGGCAGCACCTGAAGAGCTGGGAGAAGCTGTTCAGCTGGCCCAGACGAGCTGAGCCAGAGCCAGAACCAGTAGACACACTGACCCCCCTCAGGACCAGGATTGGGGATCCCTGCTTTACACGACTAGGGGTTTGACCCGCCCGAGACCGGGAATCTGGGGTCCCACACGCCAGCGAGGGGTTGGCGTCTGTGCCACCGGCGTGTGGAACCGGAGCGAACCGGTTGAGTCCCGGGGAGGGGTGTGATGGACCCCGCACGCCAGCAGGCGGAGCCGCACTCGGGGGGGCCAGTACGGACCAGCTCCTGCGATCTCCTGTGCGCCGGCACGTTGGCACCACACAGTAAACACTGGCACAGCCCGCCAGGGCACACTAATCCTCCCTTTATGATCCGTCATAAACGGGATCGCCGGGACCCCGCCCAGGCTCAGGAGGACTGAAATGCCCCGACGTGTTTGCGGAGCACTGAGTCACACTGGGGCAGCCGCGCAGCTGGAGGAGGGTGGCAGGGGACACAGGAGGACAGTGCGACGGAGGACGAGGCTGCCACCCTCGGATCTCCAGATCCCTGTTATAAACACCATGATAACCGTCCAGCCTGCAGCTCCCATGTGTCCACACCACAGCGGAGGATAATGCAAAAACAGGGAGGAACTCAACGCAGGGTGGCACAGCGGCGCTGGGACCCCGGGTTCAATTCCCGAGGTGCTGTCTGTGTGGAGTTTGCATGTTCTCCCATGTTCATGCTGGGTTCCTTGCAGGAGCTCCATTTCCCTCCCACAGTCAGTCCAAAGATATGCTGGCAAGTTAATGGGGTTCTGGGAAAATTGGTGTGAGTGTGTGAGCCCTTGTGTGAGTGTGTGAATTCCCTGTGATGGACTGGCATCCTGTCCAGCGTGTACCCCACCTTGCGCCCACTTCTTTCCAGGACAGGATCCGTCTGCCCTGCAACGCTGTGTTGGATAAAGTGGTCAGAAAAAGGATGTTTGGATGGAAAACCAATGTACTACGGTAAATTAGAGAACAGCACAGTTAGCTGGAAAGTGTGCTTAGTACCTTAATGCCAGGCGTTACTACAGTAAAAGACTAGTCATGTAGTTTTGCCTGCAGATATACTACAGATGGCATGGCTGAGTGCAGACCTTCTTCTGGGCACTTTTTCAGACTGATATCTTTAACTGAGCCTGTTAATTGGCACGCCGATCAGAATGAAGAGAAAAGACTTAATTAGCTGGTGTGTGGTGAGCGTTCTGGCGCACTGTGGCTGCCGTCGCATCATCCAGGTGGGGCTGCACACTGGTGGTGGTGGAGGGGAGTCCCCATTACCTGTAAAGCGCTTTGAATGGATTGTTCAGAAAAGTGGTATATAAGTGTAATTATTATTAATTATTATAATTATTATTAACATGGGTCACGACTCAACGACACTGCTGAATCACACCCCGGGGATGTGCAGCCCAGGTCGGGAACGGCGGCGCAGTGATCACTGTTGATGCTGCGCTGCACCGCGGCCCTGGGTTCAACTCTGGACCTGGGGTGCTGTCTGTGTGGAGTTTCTATGTTCTCCCCAAGTTTGCATGGGTTTCCTCTGGGAGCCCCAGTTTCCTCCCCCAGTCCAGAGATACACAGGTATGTCAACTGGCTTCTGGGAAAACTGGCCCTGGTGTGTGAGACCTGTGATGGACTGGCCCTGGTGTGTGTGTGTGTGTGTGTGTGTGTGTGTGTGTGTGTGTGTATGTGTGTGTGTGAGACCTGTGATGGATGGGCCTGGTGTGAGTGTGTGTGTGTGTGTGTGTGTGACCTGTAATGGACTGGCATCCTGTCCAAGGTGGACCCTGACTTTATTATTATTATTTACCAGCCCATTAGATTACGCCCCCATCGCATCCTGCCACTGCGTCTTGTGCCTCCGCGCCGCTGTGGAAGCCCAAGAGCAGACTGGGCCCAGGCTCCCCTGGCCTCCCTGAGGTTCTGTAGTCACTGGCCTTAAAGACCACCCTGCCCACCACTCCTGATTTCCACACTTTCCTTTTTCCATTCGATCCTTTAGCACAAGGGCTGTGGCTCTTTCTAATCGCCCGGAGAGCAATCACTGTCTCGCCAACCTCTCTGCGGTGCAGCGTATGCAAATCCCACAGGCTGACTGGCCTGGGCTGCGCTGCAGGGCGGCAGCTGTGCTGTGGATTTGCCTTATCGCAGTCTGTGCCTGGCATCGCAGACTCTTCATGGGAGAAGACTTCTGCGGGGATCTGTGTGCGTGTGTGCGGCTGCTATGTAATTAATTCAATTGGCTGGTGACTGTGTGGGGCTTCACATATAGGAGGGGACTCACTGATTCATTACTGGCCAGCCCCACCTGGAGACACATAGAGGCCGTTCTGTACCAGAAACCCCACCTGGGAGATGCACAGCACCATTCAGTACCAGTAACCCCATCTGGGAGACACATAGGGGCCATTCTGTACCAGTAACCCCACCAGAGAGACACATAGAGGCCATTCTGTACCAGTAACCCCACCAGGGAGACACATAGGGGCCATTCTGCACCAGGAACCCCACCAGAGAGACACATAGAGGCCATTCTGTACCAGTAACCCCACCAGGGAGACACATAGGGGCCATTCTGCACCAGGAACCCCACCAGAGAGACACATAGAGGCCATTCTGTACCAGTAACCCCACCAGGGAGACACATAGGGGCCATTCTGCACCAGGAACCCCACCAGAGAGACACATAGAGGCCATTCTGTACCAGTAACCCCACCAGGGAGACACATAGGGGCCATTCTGCACCAGGAACCCCACCAGGGAGACACATAGAGGCCATTCTGTACCAGTTAGCCCACCAGGGAGACACATAGAGGCCATTCTGTACCAGTTAGCCCACCTGGAGACACATAGAGGCCATTCTGCACTAGGAACCCCACTGCACGGCAGCTCAGGGGAGGAGAAACTGCTGCAACAGGTGAATGAAGGGGAGCTGTAGGGAGGACAGACTGTACAGCGCAGGGAGGAGTTTAGCCAGGATACTGGGGCAGACAAACAGTTCCCTGGGATTGCTAATGACCAAGTTATAAGCAGGACCTCAGTAGAGCATCTCATCTTAAGGACGAGACCTCCTGCAGCACGGGGTCCCCCATTACAGAGGCACTGGTGTGGAAATTCCTGTGCAGGAGGAAGTGCACCCCCAAACCTGCCCACCAGCACAGCTCACAGCAGTACCAGGCAGGCCCACCCAGCTCAGTTTCCGTGACCAGATTAGATCAGACTTCAAGGTGGGGACTCTGCTGAACTCTGCTGCATGCGTGTGGTGTATCAGCACGCACACCTCGGCACACTCGGCAGCCGCCCAACACTGTGGAGTTTCAGCTTCTTGTCGTACCGACGGTGGAAATTTGACTTTTTGTTATTTCACTCGTTGAATTCATTTTTTTTTCTCCCACAAAATAAGCAAGATGCCCGCCTAAAGCAATCCATCAATTAAACGGAGAGGGGTGGAGCCTGGCTCCGTGGCTCAGGATCCGCGCCTGTGGCTGGAAGGTTGCCGGTTCAAATCCCGTAGCTGGCAGAGGAATCCTACTCCGCTGGGCCCCTGAGCAAGGCCCTTAACCCCAACTGCTCCAGGGGCGCCGTATAAATGGCTGACACTGCGCTCTGGCCCCAAGCTTCTCTCCCTGTCTGTGTGTCTCATGGAGAGCAAGCTGGGGTCTGCAAAAAGACAAATTCCTAATGCAAGAAATTGTATAGGGCCAATAGAGTGACATTAACACACATCCAGTGGCAATTAACCAGCTGCTTACTGTATATTATTATCACTGCTTGCGCCCCAGCCTCGCTCGCTGCCTTGAGGAGCGGCAGTACAGTAGCAGATTTCTATACAGTATTGCAGGTCGCCGTACACAGACAGCAGGAGCAGCTGGGGGCATGCAGAGACACTGACTCGGCGCGTCTCCAGCTCTCCGCTCAGCAGAATCCTGTAAGTCACGTTACTTTGCCCTCGCTCGCTCGTGCGGCGCTGCCGTTTGCACAGGACGATAAAAACAGGTTATTTTTTTGTTCTCTTCTGGAAAACAAAAATATCGCCGGCATGACAACGGGACCGCAACGAGCGGTCCGGGCTGCGGTTGTGGTCGGCCGTAGAGAGGAGCCACAGGCGAGCGAAAGCGAACCCCCGTGGACCGAAACCGAACGGGACATTTCGCGGCGTGGAGTTTCCCCACCTGTAGTCATTTACGAGTCCGGCGTCGACCGATGCGTTCACGTTCGCTGACCACGGTCTTGCTCACCTACAGTACCACAGAAATAAAAGCTCGTCTTGAGTCTGACAAATACCCACACCAGCTCGAGGAAATGAAAACGCTGAACAAAAACATAACAAAAAGAACCACGCTCACTCCCGCACTTTCCAACTTTTTGTCAGCAAAGGTTTATTTTTCCCGTGACTAAAATCAAAAAGAATACGAGAATACATCTCTGTCCGTAGACTATCACACATACAGGCATTTGTGTTGAATTAGCAGAACTGCAAACACGGTTTGTTTTAACACCTTTTTTATTAGCACGGCGACAATATGTTTTTTTTTTAACAAGACATTTAAAAAACACATCCATAA